TGGGGGGTGGGGGGGCGGGGTGGAAGGAATCCCAGCAGAGTGCCGTGAGTGACAGTCACGGCTCTCTGCAGGGATAGATCGAGAAGTGAGCGAGCGACGGTTTGTGTTCTCTTCCCAATCTACTGAGCCGACCTGTGACAGTTTCATTGTCACAGGTCGGCTCAGATTATGAGGCTGAGTGACAATACTTAAGCCCTAAAGAAGGGAGGGAGCGTCTCCACCCATTGTTTTAAATTTAATATTGAATAAAGCCTCAGTTTGGACTCTTGACCATTAGCGTGCTGCTGTGAGGGCTTCCTGTATATTTGGACCTTTCTCCAAGCCCCCCCCCCCTCTCCTTTTGGGCTTCTTCTGGGATATACAGTATGTGCGGCTTCACCAAAGCTAATTGTCTGGAGTAGTGAGCCCGGTCCTTTACAATACTGGATAATAAATCTGTCGCCTGACTTTGTATGTACATCATCTATGTGGCACTGGTGTACATTTTTCTTTAACATATATAAATCTCTTTATCCAAGAACGAAGGCACTTGGCCCATAATCTGCCATACAGTGGTCAGTTTGGTGTCAAGGGGGTGGGGCATAACAAAGTTCTATCATAAGCCGGTCCCATTGCATTTATATCTGTTGTCTTTTTAGGTTCTGCCGACAAAACCAAAAAGGAGGGCCAGCGGCCTAAAGAGGACAAGCGAGTTCGGGAGGATGACAAGCGAGTTCGGGAGGATGACAAGCGAGTTCGGGAGGATGACAAGCGCGGTCGGGAGGATGACAAGCGCGGTCGGGATGATGACAAGCGCGGTCGGGATGATGACAAGCGCGGTCGGGAGGAGCGCGGTCGGGAGGATGACAAGCGAGCTCGGGATGATGAAAAGCGAGCTCGGGAGGATGACAAGCGAGCTCGGGAAGAGGACAAGCGAGCTCGGGAAGAGGACAAGCGGGTTCGGGAAGAGGACAAGCGAGCTCGGGATCCCGCCGTACAGACCACGAAAGCAGCCGCCACTGCAAAACCGCCGAAGCCAGTTAGTGGTCCAAAAATATCCGCTCAACCAGCCGCCCCTCCGCCGGCCCTGAGCGGCTTCAGCGCTCACAAGGAAATCAAATTGACTCTGCTTAGCAAGGTGACCTCATTTTGTGTTATTTTGGGGGTACAATTTAATTCGAAGTTTCATTTTTTTTTTGCAGTCTCCTTCTAGCCGAGCCTCACTCGTATCTTACAGCAAGCCTGTGCAATGCCCGTACAGCACCCGAGCAGGCTATAGTAAATTATTTGGCATTAGGGTTTTGGTTAAAGCTGAAGTGTCATGTACACGTAAAATACCTACCGTATTTGCCGCCATATAAGGTGACTGGGCGTATAAGGCGACCCCCTACTTTTTGTGTTTAAAATATAGGTTTTGGGCTATACTCGTCGTATAAGACAAGTATAGCCCAAAATAATGTTTGAGTGTGTCTCGGGGTTAATTTTCAGTACCATAAGCGGTAACCCCCGAGCTACACTCGGGATTACAGTCTCTTACCTTGTACACGATCCCCGCAGTGTCCTCCATCTTCCGGGTTCCATCCTTCAGCTACATACAGTATATCGCGCTGAGCCTATCACGGCAGGCTTTGTATTCATTAATACAGGCTTTGTATTCATTAATACAGGCTTTGTATTCATTAATACAGGCTTTGTATTAATGAATACGAAGCCTGCCGTGATTGGCTCAGTGCGATATACTGTATGTAGCTACATACAGTATACCCGGCGTATAAGACGACCCCCGATTTTCGGGCGATTGTTTTTGGGTCTAAAAACCCGTCTTATACGCCGGCAAATACGGTAACCTTATGCATCTGAAAACGCATCCAAGGCATAATAGAGTGGACTGGAGCAACTGACCAGCAGGTTGCACAGGTGGTCTGCATCACTCATGGCTCGTAGGAGTGAGCATGCACACCTAAAGGGATGCCGGGGCTGTGTTGTTTCATATAATGCTCAGGAACAGCAGTACAAAGATCACCCCCCACACATGGCAAAATGCAAAACTGATTGATGGCAAAGAAAGATAACAGCTGTGAGAGGCCGGGGACAATAGTATGACTCAGGAGGAGTAGGAATTAACGATGATGATGATTGGAAATGTTCAGACAGACAAAGGCAGCCTCGAGATAGCTACTGCAGCTTTGCTTAGACAGACCATAAAGGCAGGTGTAAGATAGCTGCGGCATCTCAAAGGGTTATATTGTGGAGATACAAGTTTGCAGGGAATTGAGAGTATTCCGTTCCAACGCAGAAGACTACTTGCTACAAGGGGGGGGAGCTAAGGATAGAATTCAGTTTCAATCGGTGCGCCGTAATGTCATAAGCATCAGTGCTGTGTAGGTGTAAGCCAATCTCTAATACCCTGTTTCCCCGGAAATAAGACCTACCCCGAAATTAGACCTAGTACTATTTTTGGGCATTGCTAAAATATAAGACCTACACGGAAAATAAGACCTAGTTGTGACCATTCCCAGGGCCGGTGGTGGCATAAGGAGGAACTTCAAGAGCCACGGGAGAGGCAGGAGAGAATCAGCGGTGCCAACGAAGCCGGCGCTAGAGGAAGCGAGGCGGCAGCGGAGGGAGCAGAGCCGCATAAGCCGATGCTTCCTCTATAGCGCCGGCTCCTGTCACAGGCGGAGTGATACCAAATGCACTCCGCCTGTGAGGAATCGATAGTGAAAGTGCGTTTCGCTCATTCTGGCCAGCGATTGGTTACCAAATTGCTCTTGGAAAGGTACAACACCCCTGATTGCCCTGATCACTCTATTCTTAACTTTGCCATTTTGGATTATTTAATTTGGATTTGCGTTAACTTTGGATTGTTGTACATTAAAAAAAAAAAAATAAGACCTCCCCCGAAAATAAGACCTAGTGTGTTTATTTTTTTTTTTTGAGACACGGGGAAACACGGGCAGGAATAGATCGTAGAACTGAATGCGGTGACAATCCCGGCCGGAGGGCTTTGTGTGCACCTGATGATCATATTACAGCGGTAGCTTTGTAATGTTTTCATCTGGTGTTCTACACAGCTCTGGCTCCATAGCGTTAGCACATTCCCGGAATTCCTTCCCTGTATTTATTAACCAGCACATGGGCCGGAGAGCCCTGGCAAGTGTCCAATAGGCAGGAAACCACAGGAGCGGCCTGGAAAGCCCATTCATACCGCACGGCGTACACACACACAGTACTTTCCTGTGCCGGGTTGCTATATACACGGAAGAGTGGCAAGAGACGGGACCGGCCTGGAAAGTGGAAATTCTGTTTCCGAGCTCGGCTATTGTTACTCCAAAATGTATTACGAGAGCTCTCAAAGAGACACTTTGCATGCAGGGCACAGTGACAGCACCTCTGCAAAGGGCTTCCCCCCATAGACTCATCTTACCAGCGCTCCCTCGCAGCTCCTTGCCCCTATACAGCAGGTGAGAATATCTGGCATTTCCAGTTATTGGGGAGCATGTGGCCTGCTGACATGAGACGGTGGCCCCAGCCCTGTCACAGCCGTGGCTGCAAAGGGCACGTAGGTAAGGAGACCCGCTGAGTCCAGGATGCCCTTTTTTGGAGATGCTGTCACCTGCCCATACAGTTCCCTTCACCCCAACTCCATAATAGGGGTCAACCGATTAAGCGTCTGACGTCTCTCCTTCTGATCAATGTGTATAAACAATGTTACTTTGTATCTCTCTATCTCCCTCTGATCAATGTTTATAAACAATGTTACTTTGTATCTCTCCCTCTGATCAATGTTTATAAACAATGTTACTTTGTATCTCTCTATCTCCCTCTGATCGATGTTTATAAACAATGTTACTTTGTATCTCTCTCTCCCCTCTGATCAATGTGTATAAACAATGTTACTTTGGGTCTCTCTATCTCCCTCTGAACAATGTATTATAACAGCGGCTTCTACAGTTTCTGTATTTTTACTGCAACTCCCGTCATTTTGACAGCATGGAAATGCCGACAAGGAAGGGGTTGAAGGTCAGGCAGTAGGACCGGGTGTACTTTTCTTGCCCTGTGTATTATAATGACGTTTTTCATGTGCAGTGTCCACAACCGGCTTTGATTTAAATAAAAAAAAAAGGTGTTTTATTCCGCTGCTCTTCTAGTGTTTCCCTGGAGTTCCCCTTCAGTTGTTAGGCCTGCCGATATCACACGCAGATCTGGGGAGGATGATACACCTTCGGGTTTATCTCAATCTTCCGCCTGTCGCAGTTAGTCCCGCGCAGTATTGCCTCCATCTCATGAAATGATCTCTCCCACTTACAGGGCACGGATAAAGGGAGTAGGAAGAGATATGAACCTTCCGATAAAGACCGGCCGAGTTCACCGCCTGCCAAAAAGTCCAACCTGTCCCCAGATCGGGGTGAGTATGACGCACTTCATCTGAACACCGGGAGGGTGGTATGTCTTAAAGGGCCACTCCACACACACCTGATATTACAGTGTTTGATTTATACTGGAGAGTTTAATCTGACAGTTCTTCTTTCCGTCTGAGATTCTGATTGGTGAGATTTCTGCACTCGGTTCCATTCTCCATATAATACAATACGGAGGAGTGAGAGACCCAGTCACTTCAGTCTCTGTACAGAGGAGTTTACACTCTAATATCCCCCCCACAGTCACATCAGTCTCTGTACAGAGGAGCTTACACTCTAATGTCCCCCCCCCCCCACCCCCCTCCGGAGCTTACACTCTAATGCCCCCCCACAGTCACATCAGTCTCTGTACAGAGGAGCTTACACTCTAATGTCCCCTCCCCCCCACAGTCGCACACTATTATCATACATTCATATAGCTCTGGCCTATGCCACAGCGCTGTACAGAGATGCACATAATTCACAGTAAAGAGCTTTTGTGCAGTAATGAGAGCTATATAAATGTATAATAGTGTGTGACTGTGGGGGAACATTAGAGGGTAAGCTCCGCTGTACAGAGACTGATGGGACCGGCTCAGTGTTCTCTGTACAGCACTGCGGTATATGTCAGAGCTATACAAATGTATAATAGTGTGTGACTGTGGGGGAACATTAGAGGGTAAGCTCCGCTGTACAGAGACTGATGGGACCGGCTCAGTGTTCTCTGTACAGCACTGCGGTATATGTCAGAGCTATACAAATGTATAATAGTGTGTGTGGGGGGGATGGACATTAGAGTGTAAGCTCCTCTGGCCACATGACTGGCTCTGTGTACAGTACTATGTTGTCCTCGGCTCGGGGGGGTTCGATGCGCGGGTAATGGGCTTCTCCCCGGGGCGATTGTGGTTTTGTTAATGCTCCGGCGTTATCTCCATCTCACACAAGCTGTAGTCACACTGCTTCTCGGTTTTCGGATGTTTCAGTAAAATGTTGCAAATGTTCATCTTTCTTCCCTTACACCTGACCAGTCTCATGTTTATTGGGTGCTCACATATACCTCATAGGGGACACACGTGATAGGATACAATGCTCTGCTCCCAAACATATACACCAGGACACGCCAGGCCGGGGCCCGCACCAAAGACGTCCAAGAAAAGCTGCCAAAGCTCTGAGTATTGGCTGGAGGAGTCTCAGACCATTGCATTGTGGGAGGCAGAGAGGCGTGGCTGAGCTCCGCCTTCAGAGCTGGCATCCTGGATTTAGGGGCCCCTGACTCAACCTGGAAAATGGAAGGAGTCGGCCCCTCATGTCACCCCTAAGTGTCTGTTTTAGGAGAAGTAAAGAGTTGACAAGTCACTTGTCTGGCTTCACTTTCAATTTTCACTGGCTCCCCGTCGTGTGCTTGGCCCTTCCACTGGCTCCCTCGGCGGGTGCTTGGCCCTTCCACGGGCTCCCTCGTCGTGGGCTTGGCCCTTCCACGGGCTCCCTCGTCGTGGGCTTGGCCCTTCCACGGGCTCCCTCGTCGTGGGCTTGGCCCTTCCACGGGCTCCCTCGTCGTGGGCTTGGCCCTTCCACGGGCTCCCTCGTCGTGGGCTTGGCCCTTCCACGGGCTCCCTCGTCGTGGGCTTGGCCCTTCCACGGGCTCCCTCGTCGTGGGCTTGGCCCTTCCACGGGCTCCCTCGTCGTGGGCTTGGCCCTTCCACGGGCTCCCTCGTCGTGGGCTTGGCCCTTCCACGGGCTCCCTCGTCGTGGGCTTGGCCCTTCCACGGGCTCCCTCGTCGTGGGCTTGGCCCTTCCACGGGCTCCCTCGTCGTGGGCTTGGCCCTTCCACGGGCTCCCTCGTCGTGGGCTTGGCCCTTCCACGGGCTCCCTCGTCGTGGGCTTGGCCCTTCCACGGGCTCCCTCGTCGTGGGCTTGGCCCTTCCACGGGCTCCCTCGTCGTGGGCTTGGCCCTTCCACGGGCTCCCTCGTCGTGGGCTTGGCCCTTCCACGGGCTCCCTCGTCGTGGGCTTGGCCCTTCCACGGGCTCCCTCGTCGTGGGCTTGGCCCTTCCACGGGCTCCCTCGTCGTGGGCTTGGCCCTTCCACGGGCTCCCTCGTCGTGGGCTTGGCCCTTCCACGGGCTCCCTCGTCGTGGGCTTGGCCCTTCCACGGGCTCCCTCGTCGTGGGCTTGGCCCTTCCACGGGCTCCCTCGTCGTGGGCTTGGCCCTTCCACGGGCTCCCTCGTCGTGGGCTTGGCCCTTCCACGGGCTCCCTCGTCGTGGGCTTGGCCCTTCCACGGGCTCCCTCGTCGTGGGCTTGGCCCTTCCACGGGCTCCCTCGTCGTGGGCTTGGCCCTTCCACGGGCTCCCTCGTCGTGGGCTTGGCCCTTCCACGGGCTCCCTCGTCGTGGGCTTGGCCCTTCCACGGGCTCCCTCGTCGTGGGCTTGGCCCTTCCACGGGCTCCCTCGTCGTGGGCTTGGCCCTTCCACGGGCTCCCTCGTCGTGGGCTTGGCCCTTCCACGGGCTCCCTCGTCGTGGGCTTGGCCCTTCCACGGGCTCCCTCGTCGTGGGCTTGGCCCTTCCACGGGCTCCCTCGTCGTGGGCTTGGCCCTTCCACGGGCTCCCTCGTCGTGGGCTTGGCCCTTCCACGGGCTCCCTCGTCGTGGGCTTGGCCCTTCCACGGGCTCCCTCGTCGTGGGCTTGGCCCTTCCACGGGCTCCCTCGTCGTGGGCTTGGCCCTTCCACGGGCTCCCTCGTCGTGGGCTTGGCCCTTCCACGGGCTCCCTCGTCGTGGGCTTGGCCCTTCCACGTGCTCCCTCGTCGTGTGCTTGGCCCTTCCACTGGCTCCCGATCAACGCAGTCACAGTTTCTGGGGGGTGCGCAATTGAGCGCGCTCCCAGGACAAAGCAGCGACGCCACCCATCAGCATGTGACAGCACAGTGTAAGGCTCCGCCTCCGTACCCCTACGTATATATGTACAGCCGGCATTAAGGGGTTCACAATTTTTCAGAATGTTCAACCAATGATATCGCTGGGAAGTGATGACATCACTGGTGGTGCGTCCGCTACGCTATGAGCGCTTTGAAGGTTTCCTCTCGTAACTTCTCCTTTTTCTGTCATTTTTTTTTCTGCAGCGCAAGACCGCAAACCGCCCGGGAAGCCCCCGTCACCGAAACCGGAGCGCCAGCGGGTTCCAAACACCAAGCCATACCCCATGCTGCCCGACAGGTAGGTGATCTTAAAGGGGAAGATCCACATCTCGCTGAGGCTCTCTGTTATACCAGATGTGGTGATCTCAGACAACGCAGCCAGCACCAGCGCTGAACAATCTGCTGATATAATCACTATAAGCAGCCGCGTGATCCTTCTAGAATCCGCTTTAATTCTCCTCATTCCGTTCCCCAGGAAACGTCCGTCTTCTCCGCCTCCGAAGAGCTCCAGCAAAGTCACCAGCATCCCCGGAAAAGCTCCAGAGGCCGCCCCGGCCGCCGGCGCCAAGCCCGGGAAATCCAGCACGTTGTCACGCAGGGAGGAACTTCTCAAACAGCTCAAGGCTGTGGAGGACGCCATCGCTCGCAAGCGGGCCAAGATACCCGGCAAAGCGTAGCGAGGACAGAGGCCAGCCCGCCATCCGGAATCTTCCCGGGAACCACGAGTCTCAGCACACCTCGCAGCGCAGGCCGGGACTTTCATGTTCCCCCCCCCCC